GAAGCAGCTCGCCCCTAACTGTATTTTTTCCCTTTTCTCTGCAGGTGCTGGTGCAGGAGCTGGAGCAGCACCAGGTGTGTGGGGGCTCTGATGAAATCATCTCTCTTGTAGTCAAAAAGTTTACAAGTCATTCAAGTTTCATCCACTCTACTGTCTCACATTGTTTTGGATGTGAACTATCCCCCCTTCCCCTGTAACCACTCACTTTTTAATTTTTTTTTTCTCTTCTCCTTTTAGTTGCTTCCCAAAAGGTTGGATTGGCAAGGAAATGAGCATAATAGAAGTTATGAAGAATTGGTGAGAACTTCTGTTTTTTTAAAAAAACATTTTTAATTAGGATGATAACACTGATGTGAGACTCTTTTACCTTTAAAAGTAGGCCCAAACCTCTACCTTCCAGTTTCATTCTGGTTAAGACTTCGGAGTTATTTTGGAAAAGGCCTTTAATTTCTTTACATTAGACTAACAAAAACACAAGTGGTGTTTTAAATTGAAGATACTGTTTACATAGCCGAGGTGGAGCTTGGCGTTGTGCACTGGTACATGCCACTGTCTACATACGGAAGAACCAATCTGAAGCAAGGTTTCATTTCAGAGTTTCGTGAGCACGTTTGTTACGCGCATTTTGATTGGATGGTATTTTTTTTCTGGTTGGCTTCCTCCATCAGTTCCCTTCAACAGATTAGGAAATGAAATCGCTCTTCAGAAATCAAGGGTTGGCAGTTCTGGTGCCTATGAGTATGCTCTTTATCTCTGACTGGTCATACCTTTGTTTCTAAATACCAGAAAGATATGAGTGAGTTCTCGACGGAATGTAGTTTATGCCTTTTACAGCTGATGTCGTTTGCTCTGTATGTTTTAACATCTGTATCAGAATGGAAAGCTTTCTTGTTTTATTTTACTGTTTCTTAAATGGCAAAGTATACTTGGCAGTTGAAGCTTGTGAAGTGATGGCCTGGTGATGCCTGCCCAGTATGGTTTATTCTGCTTCATTGTAGTTGGTGTTGTTTTTCTTTAAACAGAGGTGGTGTTTTCTTTAAACAGATATTTGTTCTTTCTTCTCCCCCCTCCCAAGATTCAGTCATTCCAGGTTAATTGACTGACTTCTCCCTTACCCATTAGTTTGTGTATTGTTATAGTTAAATCCCGTTGTCCCTCTTCTGTAGCACTTGAAGATCTCAGAATCATATTCACATGGGGCAAGAGTGAAGTTTTTGTTTAAAACATTTTCATAATTATTTAAGAGCTGCTTAAAATGATAAACTGGATTCTATTTCTTCTACTTGTCAGTGTGGTCAGTTTAGCAAATGAGGTTTTAAATTAATACTTTAAGTCAGTAAAAAGCCTAGTCTTGCTAAACCGGAATACTCTCAAGTTCTGACTTGAATTTAGCAAACATGAAAGCAGTATTAAGCTTAAAAAGGATTGTTTGGCTTTCTTTGTTGTTGTTTTTGTTGTTGGTTTGTTCTTTTTTTTAACCCCAGTTCTTCTGGCAGAAACGTGGTGGTGTTGATAGATGTTATGTGCAGATTTTTCATTACGGTTTTGTATAACTGTGTTTCTTATGTGTATACAATTACTAGATTAATTCCTGAATGTGTGCTGGTTCTATCTCCTTTTCCTGCACAATTGGAAAGAAATCTCTACACAGGGTAATAGTATCTCGGAATATCCAAATTAATTTTCCGAAGGTTTTGATTTCTGCTTTTGAGGGGCTTTGGCAACCTCTTGTCCCACTGGTCTCACTCTGAATTTGCAGAGACCACAGACAAATGCAATCATGTGGTGCAATTATTTCTTCTCTCTTTTGTTCATCATGGAAATGGAGCAAGACTGTGAAATATCTGTTCCTTCCAAAATCTGAATAAAACTACTTAAAAAAGAAGTGAACTGCGAGGTTTTGTATGCATGCTTCCATCAGGATTTTCATTTGGAATATGTACTGCCTAATGATGGCATGCAACCAGAATGGTTTAGAGTGCTTGGCATAAAGTATGCTGAGGTTTCTGTCCTGACTGTCGTGGCTCTATACCTACTCAAGAGGGAGAATTTATAAATAAATTATGAAAAAGTGCATTTTGTAGTCTTTGTACTACAAAATATATTTTTCATAATCAAGCATCTGATGAGCTGATTTGTTTGGATATATTTAGCTATGTGGTAATGTTAACTATTTTACTGTTATTACCATCCTCACTGCCCCCTCAGGAATGCAACCTGTACCCCTACAAGCTGTATATGTTAATTGCAATTTTACTATTTAAAAAAGTACTAAGTTGTGGCTTAAATCGTATGTTCTCAATACTCAGTGTGCATCTGGGCAGTGTTTTATGGAACAGATCTTAAATGACAGCACGTAGTATTTTTAATTCCCCCTGTTCTGATGACAAGATCAGCCTTGTCAGGACTACTCTCATCTGAGTTGGGTCAGCAGGGCAAGGTAGTAGTGTCATAAGCACGAGCTGGTTCTGCCTGTGTTCTGAGCCACCTGGGCAAGAGGTCGTACACCTGTGTTGGTGTGGCCCTCTGCCTCTCCTGGACATGTCAGCTGAGAATAGTCTGACTGCTGAAGTAGTGATGTGGCTTCTGGGTCTGACTGGTTTTTATGTGGCTGGATCAGAGAGTGGAGTAAGCACAGGGCTGTTTGTGTCTGCTGATTCAGACCTCCCCAATGGCTTAAAGTGATGATTCTGATGATTTGGTTTACTCGAGTCTGTGTAAACTCTACTTTGCATATTTAACTTCTGCTTTATTGTGATTGACTTTATTTGTTAGATAAGGACTTTTTTTCCATGGAACACCCAGAAGGAAGAGTGGAGAAAAAATAGTCAAACCTCCCCGATCTGTTCTTCACTAACACACATGAGTGCGTTTGAGGATGCAGTTTTTTTAGGTTGTTAGATGTAGGTAGTATGGGAACCTTCCTGAATGGATGGAGGACTGTTTGATCCTTTTGGTTTAAGGAATTAGGGCATTCTTATGCTATGTAGTACTGGTTCTTTAAGAAAACTATTTCCAGAGAAGTCGTACTCAAACCTACTAGTTTACAATGTACTGGACAAGTACTGTGCAACTAAAGTAGTAATTGCATAAATTCTTGTGCTTGATTGCAAGAAGTCTCCACGATCTTGTATTATGAGGGTTTGAATTTTATTTTATATTTTTAGTGAAAACAATTGGGTGAATTGGGCAAAGACACCTGCAGGGTGCTGTGCAAATGGATACCTAAGGTGTGAACGCTGCAGGCTTCCAATAGTAAAATACTGATATGCGGGAGGTAATTTTGCTGCAGTATAGCTCTCTGGTTCTTGGAGAGTACTTGCTGAGTTTGCTAGAATTGATTTTGTTTTTCAGTTGAACTCAAAAATGTGTAAACAATGTTTAATATAGCTGTGAATACTGATGCTTTTAGATTCATCTAGTCTGAATGTATTATATATATTTTTAAAACTTAAATTTCTATCAGGTGCTGTCCAACAAGCATGTGGCTCCGGACCATTTGTTACAAATTTGCAAGCGAATTGGCCCTATACTGGATAAGGAGATTCCACCCAGCATTCCGAGAGTGAATTCCTTACTTGGTGCCGGGAGACAGTCGTTGTTACGTACAGCAAAAGGTATGTTATTATTTGAGATGGGTATGATATATTTTCATGAGTATATGGTGAAGGCTTTTGGAATACTTGAAAGTGGTGAGCTTTCACCAAAATTGGTCTCCACTTCTCCTGTACCTTTTTTTTAAATCAACCAAAACACTAATGATCTGTGTATTAGTGATATAACTATATATCAGTTATTTTGAAGAGAATGTTTTAAGTTGCATCACAAGAACTGTTGTTACTCTGAATGGCTGAGGCTGGTCAGTTTTCAGTGTTACTGCGGTATAATGGATCATCAAGACAAAGGTGCTACTTCTGTAATGTCTCCCAATGCTCCCAGTACTCCGTTGGTCTGTGTTGGTTTTGAATGTGGTAGCTGTTGCACCCTGTTCAGTGCAGATGTGAGATGGTAAAACTGGTTTTATGAAAGTTTTCTTGGTTAATGCAAGCGGCATCAAAATTAGTACTTGTGAATTCTGTACGTGTGCAGGAAGAGCATACCTTGAAGGGGATGGTTAGCACTGCATAAGCACATACTTCATTTGATAAAGTAGATTTTTTTAGCTTTGGACTTAGCTTTTTGAATGTTTGTGACAGGGGTGTTCATGTGTTTCTATGAAGTTCTGTAGGGTGGATGGATGCTATGATGTGGGACTAGTTTATGGGATACTATTGTGTTTTCAGTTACTTGTCCTAACTGCTTTAAAGGATGCACACTTAATGACGGTGTTTGTTCTATCCTGAAAATCAGGTTTTGCAGTTATTTCATCATGAGTATGTCAAAATAACTGTCAGTATGGGATTTTAATTTTTTTAAGAATCACCAAATTGTTGTGTTGGAAGGGACCTCTTTGAGATCATCTAGTTAAATCATTTAACAGGAATAAATATTCAATAAATATTTATGATATTTATGTAGAAATGTTAATGAAAATCTTAAATGCTTTGCACTAAATGCGAGTAGGAATGATTCAGTTGAAAAGTTGATTATGGGAACTGCAGGGGCACCACCATTAGGATTAATGGCAAAGTTTGGTGCTCTGTTGTGTTTTTTTTCTTCCTGTTACTATATGAAACAGATTTTTCTTTCCTCTGACACCGTATTTTTCATTAAAAGTTTTGGGACATTTGGTGTTCCTGGTTTTTTACTTATTTCAATACTGTGCTTGAGATCACCTATAGATACTTGACTGTGTTTTGAAACTGCAGCTCTCTAGGCGTTTTTAACATGTACTTCTGACCAACTTCAGCCAATTGGTTTTAAAGATTGCAGGAACACTGTTTGGAAGGGCTCTGCATTTGCTGCTCTTCACAGAGGAAGACCTCCTGAAATTCCTGTGAACTATGGCACACCACCAAATCTTGGTAAGCTTTTTTCAACACTTGTCACTGCTGCTGTGGATGTGTGATGCGTATATCGATTCTGGCCTTGCCACGACACTGAAAGTTGCACCTCAGAGCTGGATTGAGAGGCTTATCTGAGGAACTTTGTGTGACTTCACTGGAGTTGCATATTGGGTACAAAGGTCTGCTCACAGCACGGGTGGAACATCAGTCTCTAGATGACATCGTTTTCTTTTATAAAGCTCCTATATTAAGTAGATAAACCTACAGAAAAGACAGATCTTTCTCCTTTGGATAGAAAGACTCTTGTACGATTTAGGATATAGAAAGCTATGGGAAAATAAAGATAATATTTATCACGTTCTTATTGAGAGACTGGAGTTTGATTTGAGCAGGTTTAAAATACTGTCTTGATTTTATGCATAGAAAGAATGCAAATAACAAAAGAACCTGACTAAAGGAAGTTGGAAAGTGACTTCTAGTATATCCTTAAATAATAACAGAAGCTAAATAAAATGATGTTTTACAATAGACCTGTTTTAAACATCAGTGTATTCATTCTTGGATTTCTCTGCATTCTAGTGGAAGTACATCGAGCAAAACAATTAACTGGATATGCAAAGTTCAGTACTTCGTTTCCAGGAAGTATGTATCAGCATGTCAAGATGCACAGACGGATTCTTGGCCATCTTTCTTCTGTATATTGTGTTGCATTCGACAGGACTGGACATAGAATATTTACTGTGAGTTAATGAAATAGATCGGAATCTGAATATAATTCTAGATGGATGCAAGGAAAAGAACTTTGAAATGCATGTTATGCTAAAACTTGTGGAGGTGGATATTAGTAGTGTTGAAATGTAGCTGGTTAGCTCCATCACTAAGAACAATTTGATCTAAAGGAGCATGTGAGAGAAATTGTTGTACTTGATATCTGCTCAGGTGTCAACATTGATGTAAGAATCTTTCCAGTGACATAGTTTCATGTTAAGCATGTTTCTTATTCTCTATCCCTTCAGACTTTTTGCATTATATGGTATAGTTCTGTGGGGATCGCAGTGTAATCCTGAACCCAAAGTAAACATTTTGGAGGGTTTAATGTTGGTCATGTGACTATTTCTTTTAGCTTCAGTAGCATGTATCATTTTAAATACAAATGTAGTTTACCAAGCTGTAGGAAAACATAAGTAAGTTCTTTAAAGGAAACTGTAAACTTTTATCCTGAATGTACTTGACAACCCTTGCTAAGCATAATAAATACTTTTTTTTTTTCCTAGGGCTCAGATGACTGTTTGGTGAAGATTTGGTCAACTCATAATGGCAGGTTATTTGCCACACTACGAGGGCACTCAGCAGAGATATCCGATATGGCTGTCAACTATGAAAACACTATGATTGCGGCTGGAAGCTGTGATAAAATGATCAGAGTGTGGTGCCTGAGAACTTGTGCACCAGTTGCAGTCCTCCATGGACACACAGGGTCCATTACCTCATTACAGGTATGGGGATTTTTTAAGAGTTTCTATGTATTGAAGGACAAATAATGTAAATCGATTGTAAGAAGCAGCCAGTTTAGAAAACTCTAAAGTAAATTTAATTTGACAATGCAGTATGGCAGATTTGGAGGTGTTTTAATCAAACAGCAGAAGACAGGAAGGAACTTGGGCAATAAAGATGCTGTTGTGTCAGATTTGAAAAGTTAAATGTCTGCTTTAGTAGTAGGCATTAGATTGATGGGACACCCTAAGATTAGCGAGCCATCGTATTGCTAAGAAATAACCAGTTCCCTTGGTTGCTTATTGTAACTGAGAAACCTAGTTACATGAGTGCTCTACACCAATAGAGCTTTCTGGTTTTGTGCTATAGATTCTTGAAAAGGAAGATTATTACCTCATTTTCTGTTTGTGGAGAAAAGTACTTTGCAGTTGTTCACACTAAGTTAAGAAGTAACTTGCCAATTGTGCATCTTAATTTTTCATGTCCAAGTGCAAGGAACTGATCTTCTGTTTCCTGTGGAGGCTGGCGTGTGAATGGCAAATAACTTTCACTGTCACTGAGTTTCACATGACTGAAATTATTCCTGTGTCACTGCCTGTGAAAGTATTAAAATCTAAATATTTAAGTATTGATGTCAAAAATTAGTCAAAAACACAGGAGAAACCTAATTTTTAAAAAAATTCCTCGCTCTCTGAAATTCTTGAGTATTTAAGTGAAGATAATGACAGGAGTCTTTCTTGGCTTGAAAAAGATCACTGCCTGCCTGAGTATTTAAATTTGAAGGCATGGTACTTTGTGTGCTGTTGGCAGTCCTTTGCATTCAGTCTCGTTTTGGCCTTTGTAGTACCTTGTGTAACAGACAAACTGGTAGCTTATTGTCCAGATTTACTGTTTTCCAGTGAGACAGTTATGTTGAGGGGTTAAGACTGGCTACCTGCCAGCCTGTGAAGTTTAGTACAAAAACAATTTAGCAGTTTTCTCAGAAATCCTGCATCTGAGAGCATTCTTCCTATTTGCAGAGTTTTTGTGGCATTCATTGTATTTTTTTGTTTCATTTTTTTTTAATGGCAAAGCACTTATTTGTGGTGTTTCTTTTATTGTAGTATGGTGGAACTTTTTGTTTCAGCATTCTTAATAATACTATAATTGCAATATGTACAATTTATATGGTAATTTCCAACAGTAGTAATTGATGAACTATTTAATCAGCTAGTGTCCTGTAAAGTTTTCTGCAGGGCAGCTTTGTGCATAGCAGAAAAACCTATGTCTTAAGTATCTTTGAGGATTTCCTATAAATTCATATGTAGTGCTGGGTTACACATACTTAGACTGTCTCATAACTGGTGCACTGCTTAATTACAGAATTTAATAAGTAAGCCTGTCTACTGAAACTTCCATTTCTTTGTGGTTTTTTTTTTCAGTCTGCTGTTCTTATTACTTCATTTATTACCAAAGTTTTTAGTAAATGTTTGTGGTTAGTTGAGACTTCAAAACAAAGCTGTGAATGAATTGATTTTGTATAATGCAGTAATTGAAACATAGACCGTGAACTTATTTTAAGGTATAGGAGATGTTGTTTTGTGTAATGCTAAAAATGACAGTTATCAAAAACTACTTAGCAGTTTTAGTTGAAAAATCCAAAGTGAAGGTTTTACAGTAATGTTCTCAGAAGTTCATAAGCAGCTTTTAAATATATTTTTTTTTGTTTGTGTCTGATTTTACTTCTCTTTAGTTTAGTCCGATGGTGAAAGGCTCCATGCGATACATGGTCTCTACTGGTGCAGATGGAACTGTTTGCTTTTGGCAGTGGGATACAGATTCCATGAAATTCAAGTATGTAACTGAGTTGCTGATTAACTCTGTGCCTTACTATACTTGATTAAAATGAGTCGAGTGCTTTTAACTAGCTAAAAAAAAATCTTGGTTTTAGCTTGTTAAGAGCCTTGAATGTTTCCAGGGAGAGGGCATCCGCAACTTCTCTACAGTCCTCTAGTTTTAGAATATTTCTTAAGGAACTTGCATGCAAAGTATGTTCAGCATAGTTTTTAAATATTCTGTATGTTATTGCTCTTTATTTGTGCAAAAAAAAAAAAAAGATGTTCAGATTATTATCAGAAAGAAGAGATCTGAAACAGTCAACCTGCATCTATCTAGTATTGTGCCGTATGATGATAGTTGGTATAAAATGATCAATTTTACATTAGAGCAGCTATTAAAAATTAGTAGTATAGAAAGCAGATTATCTTGCTTTTTATTTTGAACTTGTGATCTTAAAGTAGTAGAATTACAGCAAAAACTATCAGATGCATAAGTTCATCTGAGGAGTCTTTTAGGGCTGCAACTTATATTTAGAGAGTGTTTAAACTGGATCCTTAATTATTATCCTGAAATTAATTTAGAAGACTGTATGAAACGTAAACCCTGTTTAAATTGGTTTAAGCATTGTAGGCCTCAAAGCAGCATTCTTAGGATTCGAATCTCTGTACTGTGTATTATAGAAACATGAGAAATATTCTTGTACTGAAGGTCTCAGCATCTCCTTTGATAAGTAGAAAGCGCTTGAGCAGAAAAGGAGTAATGAGTAGAAACCTATAATGCTTGTAAGCAGCACAGTTTGCTGGATTTCTTATTAATGTAGTTCTTAGTAACTGCTTAAGCCATGTCGGCTGGAAGTGTGTGTACATGACTTGCAGAACAGGAAACCAGTCTCTTAAATCACTGTGTGCAGTGTTGCAAAACTTTTTTTTTTTACTTCTGTAAAATTTTGTCATTTTGCGCAGCACTCTGCGTTCATGATATTTGGTAGGCTTTATGTACTATTGGTGGTTTGTAATGTGAGGACAGGAGTTCAGTACTTCAGATATATCTGATGGAGGGGGTAAATTATACTTGCCGAAGGACGAAAGAGAACAAATGTTCTTTTGTGTGTGATGTTATCCTTGCTAAATAATAGCATCTTGCAGAAAAAGTCATAAGCTGTATGGGCTTTGTGCATGTATAATTTTGAAAAGTAAACTGTGTTGTTCATCATTGTGCACAAGATTTACAGATAATTCTGTATGTGTTTTAAGGAGTGACTGTTAATGTAGATGTTTGAAGAAGCATAACTTTACCTTTTGGAATGTTGATAAAAAGATAAGTTCTGCATGACGTATTTCGAGCATCTTTTCTTTTTAGCAATCGGCCAGTGAAATTCACAGAGAAACCTAGACCAGGGGTTCAGATGCTTTGTTCTTCATTCAGTGTAGGTGAGTCATGTACAAATTTAATTTAGCGCTTTGATTTCTCCTCTTTCCTCATACATAAGTTGTTACTATAGTACTGTTTGTGACAGCATTGAAACATACAAAACCAGCAGCTGTGTAGTAAGTTAACGTATGTATTTGTATTGTTACTCTATGGCATAATGAAATCATGTGACTTAGCTAACAGTGAGACTGTTGAGCTAAGTGATACTGTTTTTCCTTCTGCCATTGGTGATTTTACGAAATAGAAGTCACCTGATGCCTGTTTACTTTTCGTCCATCTTTACTGGATTTTTAGTGTTTGTTTAATCCCTTAGCATAAT